CAAATGAAGATTATACGCATTTATCAGAATATCTGAACAATCAAACTTACTATCATGCATTATCTCAATCTCTCAATAATCTCCAAACTCCTTATTTAAAAGAAAATTTTCTAAGTCATCAATAGCTTTTTGCAATGCAAAAATATATTTATATATTTTATTAAATAATTTTTTGATTCATAATATTCTTTTAATTTATCTTTCTCAAAATCTATGCCTTGCTGAATTTCGCTGATTATATTATCATCTTGATCACTTTCATTTTTGTCATTTGTGTTTTTGTTTGGAGCCTATATATGATGTAAACTTATGAGATTAGACATAAAGTTGTGATGTAAACTTATGAGAATAAGACATAAAGGTAAGCTAAATTTTTTTCACATATCTCTATAAATTCAAAAGGTGACAAAATGTTAGCGAAATTTAATTTGGCTTTTCAGATGTCGTTAATAGTTTCGGAATAAGGATCTTTGTCTTTGCCCTTTTTTTCATTTTTCGATGAAATTATACTTTTCTTAATATTAAAGAAATTATTATTGTTTATATCATCCTCCGAAATGTTTTTTGAGGTTACGAACTTAATTGATTGGTCGATATTGGTGGGTTTGTATTTTTCGTCTTTAATTTCTTCAATTTCATTGATACAAAAATTTTTGTCTATTAGTGCTTGATTTGAATGATTTTTATTTGAATTGACAAGATGCATGTAATTTTAGAATAAATTTTCCATTTCTGAAGCAGAGTAATCACCGTAAAGCAAAATTATAAAATGATTCTCATTTGGATATGGCAAATTGATAAATTGAGATAAATTATTTGATCGACAGTAAAATAACGAAGTGTCTTTATAGTTCAATTTGGTATTAAAATGAAAATTATGATTTTTCATCTTGATAGTATGGTTTCTTCGTTCGCATAAATTAGATAATATATTTTTCTCATTTGGAGAAAGCAAATTGAGAGATTGAGATAAAATATCATATTTAGAATTGATGTTAAAATTGTGATTAAGATGATATAATGCAGGATAGTAAGTTTGATTGTTCAGATATTCCAATAAACGTGTATAATCTTCATTTGTGAATAATCGATCTTTATCTGAGAAAATGGATTTAGATTTGTAGATATAGATAGTATTGATTCTTCGTTCGTATAATGCAAAGATTAAATTAGACAAAATATAATTCTCATTTGGAGAAGGAAAATTGAGAGATTGAGATAATGCATGATAGTAAGTTTGATTGTTCAGATATTCTGATAAATGCGTATAATCTTCATTTG